ATATTTTCATACGGCAGATATGAACACATTCGAAAATCAAATACAGAAAATAGGTTTTCCTTTGATTCAACAGGAATGACTGTAGAAAGAAAAATAGATAAGTTGAATACTGTTGCATAAATATGGATTTAAACAGTTGGGAGTTTTCAGAATGACTAAGTAAAACACAATATGGATATGATTTGGATAGGGCAATTAGATCAATAAAAGGTTTCTTAAAAATTCCCGAAGATGNATGCGTAAATTATTTGCGCTTGATCACATCCCCTTATTGTCATCGCCGTGGGGGATAACTGACGGTGATTCTACCGACCACCGATCGGATCCAGATTTTTCAGAAGTCAGTGCAAATGTTACACATGATTTTAGAGTGATGAATCTTTGGTATCTATTCATTATTCGAAAAGACGTAACTCTTAAATAAAAAGCAACGAAGGTAAAATAACCACTCTTACTTATTATATCTACCGGAGGTATGCCAAGTTTTGGTGGCTTGATTTGAGCGTAATGGTGGGCTAAAACTTTGCTCCATTGGACGGATCGAATTTTGCATTGTTTTGTGTTTCGAACCACGTCTTGTAGCTCCTTTAGCCACCGGATAATGATGACCAGTTGATTTTTGCCCGTTCTTCTCACTTGGTGCTAAGGGGTTTGAATTTGCACCAGACGGGATAGTTGCACAGGATGTGTTGGGACCGGATGTAGAACCACGGGAATTAGTGCGAATATCCCGCTCGACTGATCCTTCACGTGCAGCCAGGGGAGTGATATGAAAGGTGGAAAACTCCGAAAGTGTTACATTATGGTTAGCGTTGCGTACACCGGGACCCACTCCAACAGAAGCGGTTTCCGGGACCGGTACTGCACGTTGATTGTTTGGTTTCTCCTGTGTGTGCAGCCGCATGCTGTAGCTGCGTTTGTGATTTCGTTTGACAATCTCTGGATTTCTATGATGATAAAAGGGAAATCGAGGTAGACAAGATATAAATTATTGTCAAAGTCTAATGTATTAATATAGGTGATAAATATAACGAAACTCAATTTGATCATAAAGAAAATATTTTAGTGCATCACAATCGGCCAGTACTGTATATATATAACACCGGCTTGTGGACAAGCATGGTGCCAACGCCACAACAGTAATAACAATAACAATAAGACGGGATGGGTACCATCAAGTGTATCTATGTCTGCTTCGGGATTTTGACCAAAGATAAAGCTAGGAGTAGTCACAATTCTTGTTCGATAAACGACGCCTTATCAAAAGATCCACAGAACCGTAAGCTCGTATAAACGATGAAGATTAGTTGTCTCTGAAAATGAAATTTCAGACTGCAATTTTTTACCGCGTAATGGCTGTGCACAGGTCCTGACACCAGGACTGCGCTATTTTCAATATACACATGGTTCAACATATAAGTATATATCATTACCGGTTTGGACGCAAGAATGGTGCCAACAACAAAACAGTAGTATCAATAACAGGGGATGGGTGGATTGGCATACAGAACAGGTTGAAAAGAAGGTTAAACAGATACAAGGGCTAACAACAGAGGACAGAACTAACGACAACCTGTTTGTACACATTGTTTTGAAGAGAGGATAGATGTGTGGTTCGCACCGCGTCACTTTCACGCTCCATGGACTGGCTCTGCACGACGTGTATATCGGCCGTGCGCACATCGTCGCACGGTGCCTTAATCCGCACCTCAGACAGTGGCTTACCGACTATCAATAGTTGCTTTATCCGTATGTCTACCGTTGCCTGACTCATCACTCGGCCCGACCGGGTAACACGCATAATTCATCCAGCACGTCCAGTTGCATCATGCATTGAAAACAGTTAATTAAGATTGGCCAAGCCCATGCACCGGCCGAGTGTAACGACACGTTCTCACGTGATTGTGTTCTATGAATTTTCCCGCATGAGCCTGGCCCCCACGGAAACGATACAGTGACTTGGGCTTTTTGATACATCGGCAATATCAATGAAACTTGGTCAGTTTTTGAACCAGTGCAAACTAGCCAGAGCGGCGAACACCATACGAAGCGAGGCATTGTGTCCAACAAACTCATATCCGAAGACGAAAACCGAACGAAAACTAACCTAATAGTGTGTGCACTGAATTACATCATAGTTGTTTAAAACGTAGGGTAAACGGATAAAAATAAGTGTTTAATAACTTCGTGTTTACAAAGTGCATTAACGGATGTTCATTTTGACCAATAAAGCCGTCACTGTGGGAAAAAAGCGCATCTAGGAGTTATCGTGCGACGCTGCAAGTATTAGCTGTATTCTTCTTTCATGTAATACACCCTGTGGTAAAAGTTTTGTGCTCACTAGTTCAGTTTATTTTTTACAACCATTAACCATGCGCATTCGTGAGCCGGTTTTGGTTGCCCTTTGAATAAAATGACAGAACGATGATAAGAATGTTGACAGCAGATTCTAGCGGAAGATAGCGCATTTACATAGACTGAACTTACAGGAATAATGAGTAGATGTCTGAGCGACACTGTTTGCGACACCCAGCCATATCGTTCAGTGTCTCTAACCATCGGTGACCATGATCTCGGGGTCCCCAGCCCGGGAACCTAACGGGACCTATGTGACCCAGTCTCCTGGCCAGGATTTTCATGCCCTTATGCCAGGTCTTAGTTTGACCGCCCTTCATTTTTTTCCAACCACTACCTGTCTCGGCAAACATCGCTCACCGTGGCAACCTATCTGATGACGTGCGTAGCACATGTCCCAACCAGTGTAATCCATGAAGGTTGACCACTTGCTCCAGTGCATGAACTCGATTACCTAAAACTCTACGGCTAACCTCAACATTGCTCATCCGGTTACCCCACCAAACTCGTGCAATGCGACGTCGACAGCAGTGTCCGAAAACCGACAATCTATCTTGTTCCCGTAATCGCCAAGTCTCTGCATTGAAAAGCAGGACTGGCCGAACTGCTGCAGCGTATACTGGACTCTTCAAAGACAGCCGGATGTCGCGACGGCGCCACAAATATCTCAAGTTGGAAAACGCCAACCCAGCCTTTTGTATACGCACTGACACTTCATCTGTGATACGTCCGCCAGGTAAGATATAGCTGCCCAGATAGCAAAACTTGTCTATCTCCTCTACTACATCTCCGGTCAGGGTGAGATTGGGGAATGGACCAAACAATCTTAGAGCGACATTTAACAATTAGAAGGTGCAAAACGCATACCAAAAATCGCTACAATAGCACTCCAACTATCCAGAAAAGCTTGCAATTTACCAGATTCTTTACTTAGTAGCACAATGTCGTCTGCATACCCTAGATCAGACAGTTTGCCACCTGGGAGTAAATCGATACCGATATCCCCGCAGGAGGATAGGGCTGTTTCAAGAATTAAATCTATCCCGAAGTTAAATGGAAACGGCGAGGGCAACCTTATCGAACACCACTTTCTGTAGTGAACCCGGGGGAAAAAGTGCTGTGAGCCGCGACTCGGCTTCGGCTATTGTTGTAGAGGGATTTTATTATTGAAATAAACTTCTCGGGCGCATCCTTCAGGGAAATGGTGAGCCTACGAAAGAAGTGTCTGTTCTAGAATTTGACGAAGAGTAAAGATGTGGTTTATACGACCTAGACCAGGTCTAAAACTAGCCTGGTTCTCACATGTGCACTCTTCCCGAGCGGCAGACAATCGATGGAATATGAACCCCGTGAGAAGTTTAGAGGCAATATTGATTAAACTCATTCCTCTGTGTTCTTCACAGGAGGATCTGTCACCTTTCTTGTAAATCGATATGATCACGGACTCCCACCCCTAGTTGGAACCTGTTCCTTTTCCCACACTGAACTCAGGAGTTTTGTTAACTTCAAAACCAAGGCTGAAACACCGTCCTCAAAATCGATGGGGGATGCCCGTCTGGGCCCTTTGAAATAGCATATTTCTCGTATAACCTCTGTTTCAGATGGAGGACTGATGTCACCTGGCAGTATTTGTACAGTTGGTATAGGAAAGTGTTCCTCTGACAAGGGCCAGCTGAACTGAGCTTTAAAATGTTCTGCCCGTCGATCTAGACGGCATTGCTGAATATGAATCAGTTTGCCATCGGATTGCTTTATTACCTCATATCTGCGTTCTTTGGAGATGTGCTCCTAATTAATCGGAAAAGATTGCGACTCTTACCGATAGCAGAAGCCTTCTTCATCTTTCTACACTTTTCTACCCACCACCTCTCGCGGTCATTCCTCAGACTTTTGATGTCGTGGCGTTTAAGGGGTTTGTTCGCTTTGTCGTATTTTGAGTCCGAAGGAATGGCTTTACGAGCGTCCGGCAGGGCAACCGAGGTCGGGGAGATCCATCATTTTTTATTTAGTCGTCTACCAGAATCTGACGTTGTTTTGATCGATGTTTAGATCGCTTCCTTGATTGTCGTCCAGTGTTTAGTGAGTCCTCCGGTTGATGATTGAACTGAGAGGCGATGGTGGTTCGGCTTCGAAAGCCCATGTGCAACCTTTCTGACACCGTGTTGTGGGCGTCCGTTTTCAATGGCTTTTCGGTGGTTGTTTACTAGGCTTAGGGAGAATCTCACTCGTAGCAGAGCATGATCCGTGTCCACGGGTGTTGACCAGTAAGAGCCGCAGTCTTCAACAGATCCACGCTAGCGG